ATTCTTGTGAGCACAAATAGAAATGTGTGGCACGATTAATAATATCCATCAGTACAAACCATCTTTTGCTGCTTCCTTCTAGTCCAGAGCACATACAGGAGCTCTGGATATATTCTGCTTCTATTGCTACAAACTCGACTACTTCCTGTAACACATCGACGTAGACTTGGGTAGTCACTCCAGTCTTCCTCCTTTCTTGAGACGTATATTCTTGATATGGTGCTCCTCGGCAGCCACGTGCTACCCTGCTTGACGCTTTGCCATCTGCAAAGTTGACTTTCCTTTCATTTCTCAATATTTCATGATCTGGCACATTTGCCATCTTCGAATACACTACGTAACCATAGCAACCATAAACAACCAACACTATGGCCTACTCTCACTGACACCTGTTGGCGCACTCCCACCTGGCACACTCTGCTCTGATTGGCTGTCGGCTGGAGTGCTGGGCTCTGGTTGGCTGATGGGGGGAGGGTCGGGCTGGGTGGCTCGCGCCATCTGCAAAGCACACCACAGCGCGGTGCGAGCCCTGCGCGTATGGAGGGTGAGCTCGTGGATACTGACAGCTAGTGCCAGCACATCTGGAAAACAATGATAAAACCTGAGGTCTAGAACTGAAACCTAATTTCCCAGATTTTCAAATGTATCTCCTGTACATAAAGTTAAAATGATAACTGTACTGTACTCACTTTTCAAGTCTCGATCTAGTTTTTTGTTATCGCAAGACTAGGTCACTCTGTGATCAAGATGTACAGTGGACATCAAAAATTTTGAGGTGCGCGTCTTTTTACCTTTTCAAATCATCACTGATTGAGGAATATTCTACTAACTGTGATTTATACCTGACTGATGAACCTCTTCAAGAATAACTGCACAGAAAACACAAGTATGAAAATGCAGAACCTGCTACTTTAAATGGGAAACAAAGTGAGCCTGCCCACCTCTGTCGTCCTGATGACGAGGTCCGCCTTGCCGCTGGCGGTTGGTGGCGTTGACCACTTCCTCCCGGCGCCGTGCCTGCACCTTCCGAACCCCCTCCAGGAATCGCTCCAGCGTGCTGATCAAGTTCGAGTGCAGCGGCTCCGTCACCAGACCCTCGATCCTGTTCACAAGAGTCACAACCTGCACAACAAAGGTACAATTAGTTGAGGCCATATACCACTTAATTACCTCCGGGTAGGGATGTATATCCCGAGCGCGGAGGTTTTGTGAGGGAAGACGAAAATTGCGTTCGCACCCGTTTCTCGCGTTTGGGTGGACGGATATGTCTGGGACTTGGTATACGTTTTGCTGTTGGGCTGTAGATGGTGCACGTTGTTTTGGTTTTTTAGTATGTGTGTTTTAGTGCGTGAAAATGATGCGTTTAGACCGCCGATGGACACCCCTTTCAGTGTTGGTCGGGCCTCAGCTTTTGACCTTTGCATGTATAATCACCATTGAGGTCGCGACCACTGATCTGACCTTTCACACAGAGGGGTGTCAGCATTCTTTGAAACTGTTCAGATGTGAACCACATGTGCCGTCA